AAGTAGCAGCAACAATTTCTCTGTTTGGAAAGGTCTCTCTGGCTGCAAGATCCTTCGTTCAAGACTTCCCACGTACTGTTCATGGAGTGAGTACATGGTGTCCCCCAAACAAGGAAAGCTCATGGACAGAATGCCATATACTGACGGGCCATCGTTCAAAGCTAGAAAAAGCTGCATCTTCCTGATAATGATGCTTTTCCTGTGCTTTTCCTCTTCCACCAGTCAACAAATACTTTCTTTTCCCTTTTATTTTTAGTATTCCTTACTCATACATGTTTTATCTCCAGCCCCAATCTCTCCAAGTCACAACCTCACATCTCTGACTTGACTACCCACCTATCTCAACATGAATGTTCTACCAGCACCTCAAATGCAAAAGATCTAAAATAAAATTCATTTTTTACCCCCACCCACAAACTTGCTGAGTGCACATTCTTGCAATCGCCCAAGCTTAACATCTTCCCATCATTTTTAGTCATCCCTCTCTTTCCCCATCTCCAATTGTCTATTTCTGTCTGGTCTACCTTAGCAACATCTCTCCAATCCCAATACCATCACCTTAGCTCAGGTCTTCACTCCCTAAGAAAATCCCTATAACCTTTCTTTATAAATCTAATGGTTTCTTTCCTGATTCAATTCATCCTCTGAATTATTAGATAATATATTTTATAATCCAACTCTGATTTTGAGGATTTAGCTTGCTAACCCAGTCCAAATTTTCTAGCCTAGTATTAAAAGTATTTATATAAAATTCTAGTATTAATATAAAAATATAAATATTAAAAAAGTATTAATATAAAAATCTAGGCCAAACCTAATTTCCAATTTTTATACTTTATCTTCCCACTATTCCCCTTCATATATGCTCCCATGCTTTCCTGTACCTGCCCCCTCTATCTAATCTGGTATATATTGGGTGCTTAACACAAGTCGATTTCCTTCCATATCCATTGCCTTCCGCACCCATCTCAGTTTGTAGGGAAAGATCCTATCGTTCTATATATCTGATCATCACACAGGAAATTAGAATATTCACAGAAAAGCCTGTAACATTTAAAAAAAACAGACAAGGACTGAGAAAGAAGAGCGATATGATTGAGCTCCACTGTCTGAAGAAGGAAGTGACAAGCAGGATGCCATACAAGCTTCAGAACGTTTGAAAAAGCTGGAATCAGGGGCGCCTGGGTGGCTCAGTGGGTTAAGCCGCTGCCTTCGGCTCGGGTCATGATCTCAGGGTCCTGGGATCGAGTCCCGCATCGGGCTCTCTGCTCAGCGGGGAGCCTGCTTCTCTCTCTCTCTCTGCCTGCCTCTCTGTCTACTTGTGATATCTCTCTGTCAAATAAATAAATAAAATCTTAAAAAAAAAAATTAAAAAAAAAAGCTGGAATCATTATGCTTGGGATGATGGGTTGCTAACAGCTTATATGAATTCTTCTAGGTGATTCACTGGTCTAATAGAACTTACAGTCTGGTGAAGAAGATGAGTACATATGGACTTGATAATGCAAGATGGTAAAATAATGCTTCAATCAAGGTACAAAATGTCTTGGAAACACAAGGAAATGACAAATTCTAAGAGGTGAAAAAAGCTTCGCAAAGAACCCTGAGATCAAGGTCTGAAAGACAGGTTAGGAGAGAAAAACAAGCCAGGCAGCGGAAGCAGTCTAAAGGAAAGGAAGAGATGGAAAATGCTAGACATGGGTGAGGAACAAGAAAATAACTAAGGAACTCCCTAAACTATTACTATTTTGAATGTCTCTAATTATCACTTAAATAGTTTTAATGAATTTACCCTTAAGAGCTATTTGAGCCCAGCATTTTAATTAAGTGAATTCCTGAAAATATGCAGACAATTATTTGCAGGGTCGATCAGCTCTTATTAAACAGGATTTTCACAAGTGAGGTGAATCCCAGACTGCTTTGTGACTCTTAAATGCGGGGCTACCCTCCATTCACTCCCCAAAGCTTCCTCTTGGGCATTTCAGCATTCCTGCTTCAGTGTGAATGAACTGCTCTAATATCCTAGGATCCCACTGAAGGTGGCAAGCTCTTTCCGATACACATGGCAATCAACAGAAAATTATACCCTTTAAGGACAAATAACCCCATAATACAAAATGTAAAAATGCAAAATCAAATCACATAAATGTCTGCAGTACCTACTACAAAGAACTCCAGCATTAGAAGAGACCTTAGGGAAAATCTGTATCAAGACCCAAACTGTGTCTATCAGGTTCTTTCTCTCAGGAATTCAGAATCAAGCCTCAATGATTTAGTCTTCCCTGCAAACTGAGGGACACATAAATACTCAGGAGCTGCTGAGGAGTCAAATTCAACCATGAACACAGGAAAGCAGGGGGAAAAAATGGTCAGCAAAGAAAGAACAATGAAGCAAAGAAAGGTAAAGAGTAGAGACAGGGAAAGTTCCACGTTTTCCAGTCCCTGGTCCCTAATTTGGTTTGTCTGCATTTAGCATCCATCAAATTCCTTTCTTTCGTTTTCCTAAAACTAGTTCAAGTTCATTTCTATTACTTGCAATAGAAGCTTAAATGAGACAATAACCAAATCCTCCATAAAGTCAATTGGTTGATTTATTACTGACCTACCTTTTCTATAATTTCTTTTCTCTTTCTTCGAATTTCCTTAAAAGCCATAAAAGATGACTTTGGTATGCTATAGAGAAAATATGTGAACAAGTATCCAGACCCTGCTGAGCCTTTTAAAAGAAAAACCAATTGTGCCCAGAAAGGAGAAAATATAGGAATATTCAAAGTAAAGCCTTGAGATATCTGTACAGCAATCACAGATGCTAACAACTGGAAAATTAAATAGCAATCTGATTACCCTCCTATCCAAATTCAATTTAATTCTGAATAAACAAGATGGGTAAGTCCAAGTACGATCAATAGGCATTTTGTAGGAATGTAGAGCATTTCATCTGGAATGCCCCCAAATAACTAGCCACAGCCTCCCAACCACAGAAAGGTTTGGGTGCTCTACAGTGGTATTGCTATCCCAGACACAAATTCCAAAACTGAATACCAAACCATCTTAGGGCCTGGGCTTAACTGCCCCAAAGAGCAGTTAGACATTTACCCTATGACATAACAAGCTTATGTTACTTCTATTAGATAAGGGGAAGAGAAAGTAGCAGAAGCTTAATATCATGGAACTCTGTCAACATACGTGCATCTGTGCGCATGTGCCAGATATCAAGATGTTCCACAAGCTGGATCCACACCAATCAGATCTGACCACAAGTAGACCAGTTTAACATGTATAGCAAGTCAGAGGTGATAATCAGAAGTTTGAATCAATGTAGTGTAGGCAGCTCTGCAGGATTATATAAACAAAAACAATATTACAGTATCCTGGAGTTTGAAGGGACATGGAGACTATGTCCAACTTCATCACTTTACAGAGAAGGAAGCAAACGACTGAACCAAATCCCCAACCATAATAAAGTGAGATGACAATGAGCCACTGAACGCTGGCAACAGCTGGTAACACAGGCAAGGTAAAATCAAAGAACTGTGATCAGATAATAGACCAAAAAAGCATTATTTCCCAAAGTTCCTCTTTAATGGCTGAAATTTTATTTTTAATTTAAAAAGGATAAATGTATTAGAAAAATGTAGGAAAAAATCTATGCAACTACTCTTGGGATCTTTTCTGGATATTCTTGTTACTTGAGTTTAGCAAAATAGTAGTAAAGATTTCTGACCTAATTGGTTAACATTTTAGTTAGGATAACTAGAACAAGCACCTTAAAAAACTAAAAATCTATGAGTTGATGCAAAACATAAATGATGCTGTATGTTTGCAACCTTGGCAGATAGGCAGTTTAGGCACTGTGACAAAATTCTATATGGCAGAGAACTACTTATTTTAATACAAAAAAAATTCCAGATGGTCACATAGGGCCCTAATAAAAGTCATCAGAAATTAGACTTATATGTCAGCTGGGACCAAAATTAAAAGAATGAATGTTTAAAGGATCCAAATATAAACTTGGTGTTCAAAAATACTGGCAAGGGACCACGGTACAATGGATTTTGGTCTTCAAGGGCTGCTTTACCACAAGTGTTAGGTAAGTCAACACATCACTGAGGGGGGAAAAAAAAACAACAAAAAAAACATATATTCGCTGGCAGTACAATCCACTCTTTATCGTGCAGCACAGTATTTTCTAGAAGACCACTAATAAAATGTGTAGTTAGAACTTCCTGTATTGCCCAAGAAGTATTATTAAAAATACTCCTAAAATATGAATCCATAAAAAGTAGGCTTTCTGAAAAACAGTTCTAGTCAAAAGCAAACATGAAATTGGTATCATTACTTAAATTAATAAGCTGCACATTTAATAAAATCAAACATTTTAAAAATCTCCTGTTAATCTAAATTGGCAATTTTATAAGTTACATGAATCCTGAAGATGTTTTTATAGACCGACTATCTTGTAAAATCTGTTTTGCCACCAGTGCTGCAAACGGAATATGAAGTGACAGACCAGAAGTTCTGAATATAATCTATGCTTAACAGAGTCAGTTTCCAACTAATCCATAAGTCCTAATTGAGAGCCATATCTTATGTTGATAGTTTAGTCTACTAGTGGCAAAAAACAAAAACAAACTAAAATTCCCTAATCTCAACTGAGGAATTAGGATTTTTCTTCTCCCATTCCAGCAAAAACTAAGAACTGAGAAACTCTGATGATTAGTAAGTTAGATGCTCATCACAAATAGCAAAGTTCATGTAATTTCACATGCACCTTAAACTCTACATTTGTAATTTCAAATAATTACCTTTTACAACCTCAGAAAAAATATCCTCACTGATATTTTCCACGATTTAAAGAAAATGATCTTTAAAAGTCATCCTCTTAAGACTTCAGAATTACCCTAATTATAGTCCTAAACCAAAGAAGGCAGGAATGGCACCTTTCGTTCACAGAGTTTGACTTTAAATAGTCCAGTGTAAAACTTAAAAAACACACTCGGATGCTTTTTTCCGCTCAAAAACAAAACAAAATTGGTACCTGGCAAACTCGGGGTTTTGTTCGATTTGGGCCTATTAAATACCAGCGGGGCCCGCGGGGAGCGGGAGCCCGAGCCTCGCGCGCGGGCGACGCGGCCGGCGGGCGACCATGCGCCTCTGGGTGCCCCCCGCTCGCCGCCCCCAGCTCCGCCCGGCGCCCCACGCCCTCCGGACGCGCAGCCGGAGGCGCGGGCCTGACCTGCGCATTCCCACGCACCCCGGCCCGTTATCCGAGCGGGCACTTCGGTGGGAGCCCCCGCGGCTCGTCCAGTGCCTTCCCGAAGCCCGCGCGGCCCCCCTCCCCTGCCTCCTGCGGGCTGCCCCGCCAAGCCCCTCCCCGGGGGCCCGCGTCCGGCGAGAGCTTCCCTCCGGCTCAGGTTCGCTCCGGGGACGGGATAAGGTGTCAGCAAGGCGGCCAGACGCCTCCCGTAGGCGGGGGCGAAACCAGCCTGACCTCCTTTCATCCTCCTCGCCCCCCCCCCCCACCGCCCGCGCGGGGCGCTCCCCTTCAGCGCCCCTCCCCGGCCCAAGACAGGGGGCGTCCCGGCAGGAGGCTGAAGGGGGCGCAGCCGGCGCTCGGAGGGGATCCGGGGTCTGGATCACACTTCAACTTGGCAGGGCTGGGGTGGGAGAGAGGGGAGGCGAGGGGGAGAGGGAGCCCAAACTTACTTGACTGCGCGGCTCCCCGCGCCACGGCCGTGGCCAGCCAGAGGCAGAGGCAGAGCGAGAGGGGGCGCGGGAGGGTCCGCCACCGGCTCATGGAAGAGCCAGGGAGCCGCCGCCGCCGTCCGAGCTTCCCTCACTCCCTCCCTCCCAGGCTCCGGGCGACGGACGGGGCGGCGGGAGGCATGACGGGAAATTCCTGGGCACGGGCAGCCGAGTCCAAATATGAGCATGGGAGACGAGCGAGGGAGGACCGCGGAGCGCGCCCGCCGCGGACGGGGCGGCTGCCTGGCCTCGGCGGCCGCCAACTCCCTCCTCCTCTAAATCCTCCTCCTCCACAGCCGCCGCGAAGCTGCCGGCCGCGAGCGCGAGCAAAAGGTGGAATCTCTCCGCCAGGGAGCATCCCTCTCCGGGGTGGAGGCCCAAGAGCAGAGCCTAGCATCCCACCCAGGTCCCACCTAAGACCCCTGAGCAGGGTAGAGAAGAGAGAAACCACCACGGGGAGACCAGACAGCGAGCGGAGGACGCGAGGGAAGACGCCTAAGGAGCTTGAGGAGACTCCCGCTGTGCCCCCGATCACTGGAGAGCTTTGGTCATGAGAGCATGAAAAGATCTGGCAAGTACTTCTGTACGTGTGGGAGGGTGAGGCTGCAGCGGCACTACCAGTTCTGTATTCAGGTGAGCCGTCTGATACACAACAAATAGGCATTATAAGACACGAAAGCACCCTCCTGCATTCCACGGGAGCCTTTATATGGAGTGGAGGCAGGCTTCCTGACAACAGTTTTCATAATAGTTAAATGTTGAGACCGGTTGTCCTTTCCACCACCAGCCTCTCTTCTTCCCCTTACACTAGTTTTTGTATTTGTTGTAGCTTGTCTAAAAGGCAATATTGAAATTTATTCAAAAGGTGCTACCTCCGGCGGCCAAACTGTCAGTCCCAGATGTTTAATTACAGGCCCAAGCCACTAGTCCCCTGCCTTTTCTTTGGCACTGATGACTCCTCCGGTAATCAAGTCCAAATGACCCTTAGCTTTTCAAGACAACGTAATTATATCTTAATTACTATAATTTATTATTTTTATTCACACTGGCACGACAGGCCCTGCAGATGCAAGATGTTATATAGAATTACTTAGGAACATTTTAAGATGCTACAAAAATGATTTATTGATGCAAAATTCTTTTTTTTTTTTTTTTAAGATTTTATTTATTTATTTGACAGAGAGAGAGACAGAGGAGGAAGCAGGCTCCCTGCTGAGCAGAGAGCCCGATGCGGGGCTCGATCCCAGGACGCCGGGATCATGACCTGAGCCGAAGGCAGAGGCTTTAACCCACTGAGCCACCCAGGCGCCCCTGATGCAAAATTCTTAAGGGGTAAATGCCAAACAGATTTAGAGTGTGGATTATTCTAGTGTGAACTAAAGTGCGGTAATTTGTACATCACACTGCTTGTCTGAAAATGCTGATTTGAAAAGCAGAAACTTCAAAACAAATTTAATTCTAGCAAATTATTAAGGCCCATATGCCAAAAACCACTCCAATTGTAAGTAGCTCCCCTTAAATCATCTGGTACTGAGAAACACCACATCCCATGAATTACTCCTGGCAAATGGGCAGATTTCATCCTTAATATACTAGCAGTGATAATGAGGCTAAGGGCAGATGACCTAAGTAAGCTAAGGGTAAATAAACTGTAATACAGTAAATAAGGGATTTAAAAGACACATGGTATTATTCAATTTAGGTACCTAGAAGCTGGGCAGTAGGAGGGGAATACTCAGGAAAACAATTGAATATTCACTCCCTTTTCTCTTTTTTGTGTATTTAACTGGGTATTACATAAGCGTCTGTTTTTCTTTCTTTCTTTTTTTTTTAAGATTTATTTTTATTTGAGAGAAAGAGCGCACTCAAGTCAGGGGTAGGGACAGAGGGAGAGAAAGAGAGAGAACTTCAAGCAGACTCGCTGCTGAGCATGGAGCCCAATGCAGGGCTCTATCCCAGGACCCTGAGATCCTGACCTGAGGTGAAACCAAGAGCTGGACGCTCAACTGACTGAGCTACCCAGGGACCCAAGCATCTGTTTTCCTTAATTCCCTTACAACTAACGTTGTTCTTTGCCCGTAGTCTAACAGGTTGTTTAAAAACAAAAGGAGAGGCGCCTGGGTGGCTCAGTGGGTTGGGCCTCTTGCCTTCGGCTCAGGTCATGTTGTCGGGGTCCTGGAATCGAGCTCCACATCGGGTTCTGTGCTCGGCGGGTATCCTGCTTCCCCCTCTCTCTCTGCCTGTCTCCCTACCTACTTGTGATCTCTCTCTCTGTCACATAAATAAATAAAATCTTAAAAAAAAAAAAAAAGGAAATGAACACAGTAAATTGTGGACTGCTATACAGCAGCTCTGAGCTAAGTGCAGAGAAAAACTTGTTTCAAAGGATTGTAATAATTATAGTAATATTATAGTAATATTACTCTAATATAGTAATATTATAGTAATATTTAAAATTGTTATAAGTTGCATATGAGTTGACCTTATATGCAAAAACATAAAATTATAAACAAGGCATTATCCTACAACCTAATTCATATTACTATAAGTGGAGAGTTAAGTGATTATATCAATTCTACTGACTTGACAGCAAAACCAGCAGCTGGTTTTGCTTTTATTTTTGATTTTTAAGATTCTATTTATTTGAGAAGGGCAGGCGGGGGAGGAGCGGAGGAAGAGGAACAAGTGGACTCTGCACTGAGCATGGAGCCCAAGGGCATTCCCCATCGATCCCATGAGCCTGAGATCACAACCACAGCTGAAACCAAGAGTGGGCCCTTCAACCGACCCAGCCACCCAGGTGCCCCATCCCTCAACTGTCTTCAAGGCTCCAATAAGTATGTTAAAGAGAGGAGCAAAGAGTTGAAGTTACTTGAGTGTGTAACAAGTGCCAGACACTGTGCTAGATGTTTTACCCAGGGTACTTCATTTAATCCTTACAAATATCTCTGAGCTTATTATCCTTTATCCGTATTTTACAACTAAGGAGAATGTGGCATAGATAATTTATGTTACCAGGAACGGGTGAAGGAGTATTTGAATTCAAAGCTCATTCCAAAATTCTATATACTCTTTTTGCTGTATGAATTTGTCCCATTTTTCAAACTGTATTCACTGGGCTCTTTTGGTTTTAAGTAACTGGTGTGCACTCAAGTTACCTCAGGTAATAAAGGATAAAGAATACGTGTGGAAATAAGACCAGAGACTTAACCGGCTTGTCAGGTCATCCTTTGTGAGCCTGGGAGGTGGAGGCTTTGCCTTTGATAAGCACCAGGAACAGGAAAGGTACTACCCTCTGACCACATTCCTGTGAGCTTTGTAATTTAACCACTGATATTTAAATCATATATTTCACAACATTTTCTCTAACATCATTTTTTATTTTAATCTTAATACCAATCATGTTAACATATTACCTTAAACATTGTTTGTTTTTAAGACAAAGGACCCAGAAGAGGTAACTGCTTGCCTGCTCCCCATATACCATCCCTTCCCTTACCTAGTGGTGTGCTGGTAAATTTTTAACAACCAGATCAGGAGGAGGGAGACCTCAGTTGTAACAAAAACCAGTTGATGTGGTGTCAGTACTCTTACCAGCCTGAGGCAGAGTGGGGTAGAGACGTATGTAACTAGCTGTTGGGCCTGAGAAAGCCAGCCCAGCATACCACTGCCCCAACTCTTCGTAAAACGTCTTCAGAACACAGCCATAATTCAAGTTGCACAACTATAACTCTTTCCTCTTGCTGCCAGTTCTGTGTCTATAGTTCATAATCAAATGCCCCAGAGGGGAGAGTCTGATTCTATCACCACTGTCATTTTGGGGGAAAGTTCTTACTTGAGGCAATCTCAGAAGCCACTGGGCAGCCCACCGATTGGCTACCTCTGAGTCAGGTGTCCTCTCCCACTCCAACTGTGACTCAGATGGAAGGCTAACATGCTGCGCCACACAGCACCAATGCTGAAGAAACAGACTACATTGCTACTTCTTAGGGGGTTGTGGTTGGGGCAACCTCTTTTGAAAGGAGTCTGTAAGCAGGATAGGCTTTCAAGCAGTAATCTATCCAACATACTGTGCTCACTCTTCAATAAGATCCTCTCAGCCACTACACAAAGCTTTGGGCCAGTTTCCACTCCACATACCCCAAGGAACATCTTGGGTGGATGCCAACAACAGCAAACAGGGGATTGGACAGGTTAGGAGAAGACAGTATTCAAAATCCCCCAGTCAGTGTGAGAAACCCTAAGTTAGTACTTAAATTCAATGAGTATTTATCAGGCGCCAATGTTTTAAACCAATAATGATTGATCAGAGAGTAAGGGAATTACCTCATAGGAGGATGTAATAGACTCTCCAGGAAAAAGCTTTTCAAACTATACTCAATCCAGACTCCCCAGATTCTGCTTTTCTCTCCCAGGAAATAGAATGGTGTGACCCACCCATGCTGAGAACACTTTTATACTGGTGGAAGCATGCCCCTTGCCTTGGTGTGCTGGGGTGGGAGTAAGGTTGAGGAGAACTATTCTCAACAAGAGGGACACGAGTCAATGCTGACTAAGGGAGACACCTGAAATTTTCTCCCGGATTCTGAAAAAGAATTTCCACTTTCATGACACCCTTCCAGTCCCCAGTCATCAGATGTACTGAAAGGACAAGGACTCTATATCAGGTCATGAAGTGGGACCCCTAAACAAAGATGAAGACTGAATTAAAATGAGCATTTTCCATCTTTTCATGGTAAAATAATTTTGCACCATCTCAAATGGCATTCTTTTATTTTACACAGTTGAAGCCATCCCTTTTGTTGATTAGTTCTAGAGAGAGATCTGATGTATTTCCATGATTGATGTGCTGCCTGATTCTACCAGCTGTGGATATATAAATATGCTACAACAAGCAATAGATATTTAATAAGATTTTCAGTATTTTAGAGAATTAAATAATCCTCCCTAGACCAGCAAAGCTGCTTGACTCTTAACAAGATTGTGTCACATAAAGCAACACATGCAACATCAACTACATACACAAAATGAAAGAGAAGGGGAAGGGGTAGGATGGAACGTCTTGAGGCACCTGGGTGGTTCAGACGGTTAAGCATCTGACTCTTGGTTTCATCTCATGGGTCAGGGGTCTACTTGAAGATTCTCTCCCTCTCCTCCTGCCCCCATGCATGCGCACATCCCCTCTAAAATAAATAAATCTTAAAAAAAAAAAAAGAATGAACATTTTAAGTTGTAAGGAAAATTCTGATAGTGAACTTGATTCTACTCTTTCACTCCATCTCTCAGTGCTTCTTATATGGAGAACATTTAGTCCCACAGTGTGTGCATGCAGTGTTTAAAGGTGTGTATTTTTCACATAATTTGTCCCTAACCACAAACTACATCCTTTATGTGTTGTTCAGCCAAAGCAGCTTCAATGTGATCCAGAGGTACAGGAAACCCTGGCTGTGTTGGGCCTTCTGGGAAATACCATGTTGCTCTCCAAAATGGTGCCTCCCTAGAGGATTTTCTGTAGTAGTTTTACTTCTGCCTAAATTTCACCCTGTGAACTGCC